TCTAAATATACTGAAAGCTTGTTCTTTTTAATGTGTTTATTCCAATATGTTTGTAGCTGCTCAGCTGATTTATATAGACACTGACTTGATGCTAATTTGCACAAGAATTCATGAAAAATGGAGGATGAGTTACAAGCAGAGATCATAGATCACCTGTGCAGCCTTTTATTAGGCGACTGTCTTCAATAAAACCATTGGAGACCGTGTACAAACTGATATATGGGCGTCATAACGTTTTATGAAACTGGAATCGGATTTAATGACGCTGGAAACTGTCTGACGTTACAACAGCTTGCTCTCATCTGCTCATCTCAAACGAGCCTTTTGTAGAATAGATTGGTTGCAAAAAGGGCCTGTCTTTTCATTTTGTCAGAGTTTGAAAGGAAACAAAGCTGAATTGAGAGTGCCTAATCTCAACCTCCAGATTCTGACCGTAAAAGGACTAAATGATGAATCCAGAACAAACTCAGCAGTTATATGAAACCAACAGGAGACAAAATGATCAGTTCAGGTCAGGAAATGCTTTGGCCAACACATTTTTAATACATTTTTCCTGTCTTGCTCATCCTCTACACCCAGGACGTAAAATAAACAAAAAAAAAAACAACCCCAAACAGTAAAATAACATATGATTAAAACAACTGCTGTTAAAAACATTTACATTTGTATGCTTCCTAGTAGTAGTGGCTGTTATTGGCTTGCCACTCGAGTCGTTGCCACCTTGAGCTCTTGACGTGGACATGCGCTGACTGAGAAGTTCACACCGATTAAAAGGAAAAGATTCCACGAGAATCAAGGCGAGGCTTCCCGAAAGTAGCTTAGCACCAAAATGTCGGCTGGATTTCTTCAGCAAATTACACCGCTTCAGTACTTTTAATATCAAAAGCAGGGTTTAATAACCGTAGGAGTCCTTTGCAGTCATTTTCCCCCTCCCAACCATAAAATCTGACAAGAATAGAGGCAGGCTTTGTTGCTGATTGAAACCATAAGTGCTTTTGGGAAACCAAGCCCAGAACAGATCAATCCGACATCTGTTAACATTTATATTATCTAACAGTATTGCATTACATCTTCAGATCACCTGTGATGTTTCATTTTTCGGTTACAGAGGAGACACAACACATGCTTTATCACTGGAGATGCAGGATACACACACACACACACGCACACGCACACACACAGACCGGAAAATGTCAAATATTTGACCAAGTCACATTGCTTCAGTGCTGCAACAATGGCTCTGTTCAGAAAAGAATAAAAACAATCCTCATACTTTGTGCTCGTCGTAGGACACAGAATCAATTCAGGGAAGGAGGTAGCTACATAAATGTTGATCTGGAGTGAGTAGATCTGACGCCGTCACACTCCTACGTGACGCAGCATAGTCCAGTCTATCGAAACACAACTCTAAACCGATTAATGCAGCCTGTGTGCGCAGTTCGCTTTTTAGGGGAAGTCCTGCCTTTTTGGGGACGGACTTGTGTATTTTAACGTGTAAGTGTGCTACCCAAAAGAAACCTATTTTGTGCTTAAGACTCCAACTGAACACTTTCTTGTTAAAGGTCGGGCATTTTGACATTTCTCTGCTGTTGTTTTGAAAGATGAAAACCTCCGTGAATGCGTTCTATTACCATCACACGTGTGTCATATGAAATTATTAGTTCCCTACAGGCCCAGATCTGCATTTCAAAAACAAAAACAAACAAAAAAAAAACCCTAACTCCAGCCTTGTTCATGTTGATTCTCTGCTCAGACTGAGAAAGCACTGGGATGGAGACCTACAAAAATAAGTATTTCTACATAAACATTTAAACGGGTCATTCGCTCATTTACGCCACTGAAAGGCGTCTAGTTTGAAGTTAGTCTTCCAAAGACTGATTCTCGTCAGCAGACAAATTAAAAGCAACTGTATTACTATACGCAGTAAAGTCAAAGCTGAACCCAGATCTGTCAACAGATGGAAAATGTTGACAGAAGACATTTCAAACATGCCGACTTAAGAGCTTGCACACACACAAACGTTGCATGCACATACACAGACAGGCGTAGCCCCGATGCAGGCGGGCACGCAGACGAACGTGGGAAAAGGCTGCTGCTGAGTAGACCCAAAACACATCTACTCTTACATTCAGCTCAGATTATCTGGAGTTTCCCTGTTATTAAAAAAAAAGGTTTGTTAGTATGAGCAGAATTCAACTGCTCAGCCACAGTTCGTTTTTTTTTTGACCTGCTTTGACAAACGTCCCCCCGAGATATTGAACAGAGTCTCCGTGATTCCTCAGCTCGCCTCACACAACAAAACTACAAAGCGCAGTTTCAACAAGTGACTGAAATCCTGCGAATCCTCTCGCTAAAGCCAAGACAAAAACTCCTACCGCACTATAATGCCAACCTTAAGAACACCGTCACAGATGGAAGAGTGCACTGAGTGTAACGACTGAAAATATTCCTAAGTGACAGTGAGTGACTAACAAACTCAGAAGTGACAGAGGTAAGTGGAACTAATGTTCAAAGAACTCGGACGACTAGTGCTAACTTTTACTGACCTTTACACAGAAATGACAAAAAAAAAAAAAAAAGGATGAAAGTTGAGTGTTAAAAACAAGAGCTGTGGAGAACCTGGCTGTTACAGTGACCGTAACGCTGAAGTGCTAAATGTCGGAGTAAAACCATAAACGGGGAAAGAAATAAAACAGAAAAAGAAACTCTGAAGCAGGAGCTCGACGAAAGCCACGCTACTCGACAGCTCAGCTAACTGTGACCCCGACGGATTCAGGAAGCGGCCTAGTTTTCGTCGTCTTCTTCGTCGTCGTCCTCGCTGATGAGGTATCCGCGGGCTCCGCTGTGGTGGGGGGGAGGCGAGGGGGGCGGGGAGGTCTTGGAGAAGAAGGGGAGGCGGAAGGTGGGAGAGGGGGAGCGCTCCTCGCGGGCCGGGCTGCTGTTGGGGCTCTGCCTGGGGCTGATGGCCTGCAGCATGCGGCCTTTCCCCTCCTTCAGCATGTGTTTCTGTGGAGGGAGACGAGAAGAGATCAGCTGACGACCAGCACAGATGGCAAAAAGTACTCACATTCTTTACTTAAGTAGAAGTACAGATAGTTGTGTAAAAATAGACTCTGGTCAAAGCAGAAGTTCTGACTCAACCCCTTTACTCAAGTAAAAGTAAAAAAGTACTGGTTCAGAAATTTACTTAAGTACAAAAGTAAAAATGAATTTTTAGCTTCGATGATACATGATGCCTCTTTTGAGAACCCTGCAAAATGACAAAAGTTTTAAGCACACAAAACAGGATTGTTTTCATCCTTTAAGGACCTGCACAGTGCTGGTACAGAGAAAAACATCACTGGACAGTTTCCCATTTCAGTAACATTATAAACCCTAAAAATTATAATCAACATGGAAACACTCATCTCTTCAAGACTGCCAACATCTTTTATTGAGCCTCAGCAGAAGCTGGATCTCAAAGTTCTCTGAATAGAAACGTGCCCTTTTGGGTCTGAAAATCAGTCCTGCAGTGCTAAAAAGCCTCTGGCAGGCAGCTGAGGCAGGCAGGGCTGTGCTGAGCTTCACGACCACGGAGGTTGAAACAAGTAACGAGCCAGTTTTGAGAATGTAAGGAGTAGAAAGTCCAGATATTTGTGTTCAAATGTAGGGAGTGAAAGTGAAAAGTCATCAGAAAAATTAATACTCAAGCAAAGTAGAGATACCTGCAAAATCTGCTGAAGTACAGTAACGAAGTATTTGTACTTTGTTACTTCCTACCTCTGACGACCAGACCAGTTAAACAGAGAAGAATGAGACACGAGCAGGAAACTGGCGGAGACATTTAAAAGCGTGACTCACTGTGACTGTTTAACCTGTCTACTTACAGAGTTAACTCATTAAAACGCATGAGTCATATTTAACCACAAATATGAACAAGTGATGAGTGAGACGGTTTGTTTGTGGGCTGAGCTCTACATAAATTTTGATTTTTATTAGTGCTTCATCTAATTTACTGCAAAACCAATATTTCTATTTGACCAAACCGTTTACTTAAATAACACAAATAACCCTAACACCGCACTATTCGCTTACAGTCAGAACAAACTGGAATAAATTACCCCTTAATGTTTGACAAATAAAAAAAGAAATTATTCCTTAAAAAGAATATGAAGAAGCATTTATTTGCACGCAGATAACAGACTGGACATACCCACTTCAAACTGTAGGGAGCTGCTTAGAAGTTTTTTTCCATATATATATATATATAAATGTATTTGATGTAATTTTATGTATAATAATGTGATTATAATTCGCCGAGGAATGCGTTATTTATTGTACGTCAACAATAAACCCCAGGAAGATCAGCTGATTGTGATGTTTTCCTCACAAGCAGTCACTATCTGCCATTTTTTTTAAAACTTAAAAACATGAAACTAGCTTGAGAGGCAATGTGTCATTTACCGACATTGTGGGTTCTTGGTTTTGTAGCTGTCCTCGATTTAAGTGACATACATGCAGTTGAAGTTGCGTAATAATACAAACAACTCCTTTGCTCAGTTTCAGACAATCCCTGCTCTTTACAGCATTATCGTGCTAGATGATTGAGCGAGTTTACACCAGAGGGTCAGTTTACTACCGAGGCTATGAAAACAGGAAGCTCACTCGTGTTTTTCATGAGTTTTTTCCCCAGTTTGGGCTTTCAGAGTAACAAGATGTTGGTATTTATTGGGGCGAGGAGATGCTTTTCGGTTGATTTGTGTGCACTTGTTTTTGGATCTTGACCCACACGAGGGACAAACACATTCTGATGTCTCCTCCTTTATTCTGTCTCTTCTAAGTTCCAACATTAAAGAACAATGCTAAATGACTAGAATTAACTTTTATGTATCTTTTGCCAATTTCTAACGTCCGCACAGCTAAAACTAAAATCACATGAAATATGAAGAAAACTTATTTTTTGAGCTGAAAGCTTGCTTTTAAACATGCTCAGCAGTAATTTGAGTAAATTAGTATGTAACACGCACAAAGCAGTTTTATTGTACTTGTCAATATTTGGCTTTTATCTGTGTTTTGTTCCTGTACAGTGATAACTCTGGTAACGGCATGTCCCACATGTGCAGAAAGCCTTCGTTCCAGCTGCAACATGTCACCCAGACCGTAAACTTTTTTAAACAAATACAGGTTACTAATCAAGCGTATCTATTAAAAAAAAATGACTCAAGTCCACCTAAACCAGCTTCCTCACCAGAGCTCCCTCGGGGCCGAACATCTGCAAGAAGTTTCCGATGAACTCCCTGGACTTCTCCTCCCATTTCTGGATGAGGTCGATGCTCTTCTCCTCCACCTTCTGGACAAACTCCTTGCTCTTCTCCTCGACGTCACGCACCTTCCTCTTCACCTTGTCCACACGCTCCTGCAGGTGGTACTTCTTCTCCTGATAGGAGGCAGCAAAGGAGACATATTGGAAATATGAGACGGGAGGTCTGTAACTGCCACATATTAGGAGAGTTTTTCCACTGTGTGTGGGACTATTACTGACAGGGATACAGGAGAGAAACCAAACTTCAAACCGCCATCATTCAGAAAGATACTGTTAAAGTACTAAGAGATGAACACAAAGAGGATTTGCAAACTTTCTTGTCTGAAGCACCGTTCATATGCTGAGGATTGGAAAGCAGCTCAGAACTACCCTTTGCTCTGAGCCTGCAGTGGAAACGTATGTCATCACAATCTGGCACAGTGTGGTGCCGCTAAAGGCCGGCCACCTGGACACCATAAACTCAGTTTTTAACACTCTGTCAAACCAAAGTTTCTCACATTGATGAAGCTGACGTTAAGTTCCTTGGCTGTGTACCCTCTCTGCAGGTTGCGTCTGACGTAGACATCATAGTCGCGTACAATGCGGGTGATGATGTCAGAGGTGGAGATGCCCTCCGTCCGCTGGGTGGGAGCAAACATACCTAAAAAAAAATAAGGCAGAATAGTTTGCACAAAAAAGACTTAAAAAGGTCAGAGTACACATGAGTAGTTTGGTGCAACGCTCCTGACACTGATAGTCAAGTAGCTACAGGTTTCGTGAAACAAATAAAACATCTGCTCTTTTCAATGCAACAGCACTGTTTGATCCTATTAGTCAATGTCACAGAACGTGGAGAACCTGTCACACTAGGTGAGAAAAGGCGAATTCTGACATGCAAGTCTTTTAATTGGAACATTACGTACTGTCCTTGATGCTGTGTCAATTGTCAACCCCCATTTCTACCACTACTACTGATGCCCTCATTTGTAACGTTAGCGGTCTGAATTCTGAACATGTATTCACCACTTTGAGATGACAAGCAATTAGCAACAAGTGTCAAGGGAAAATTACTAAAAAAGGAACTAATTACTTCGATTTCTGGATTGAACCCAATTGCTTCCTTGTTCAGCTGGTGCATTTTTCTCATCCTATGCAGCAGGGACTCACAAAGAGTGTATTATTCAGAATCTAGTTCCTGATAACAAATGCAGCTCAGTTAAGACTCATTATAAATAGCATTTTTGACGGAAACCAGTTATACCCTCAAGTCTTCAGTGTGTGCATAAATAGAAAACATGTTCTTGATAATCATCAAAAAAAAAAAAGAATTCTAACGAAACTTATTCTTATTTCGAATTCAAGTTTGCTACACCTTTCCACATCAGCACCGGCAGCTGTAGTAAATACAATGTGGTATCTTGTATTTAATGGCGTATCACACTAACAAACTCGGCTACTTTTGCACTCACCAGCTTCTTTAATGTGCTTGTACACGTCATCGCTGCCCGCTGAGGAGTATGGGATGTCGTCATGAGCCACAAAGTCAATCTAGAGAGGTCATTACAACATAGATCAATATAGTAGATTCAGATCTACAAATTGTACGAAACAAAATTATACTAAAAAAAAAAAACAGCAGGGAGAAGGTTACACAGGATCGGGGATGGTGGCTGGCCAATCTGTTCCTCTTTTGCTCAATAAATCTATCTACAGCTCTCAAGATTTCAGTGAATGAACAGACAGGGTATCTGTAATCACGTCTTTCAACTCTGTGTTTCTCTTTTTCATTCACTCACGCGATGTCTTGCAAGGAACTCTGGCGTTAACGTCCAAGGGGCGTTCCGCACCACCTCATCCACGTAGCGGCAATGTCTGATAGCGTCGTATCGCTCGTCCTCGTTCATCACTGTGAAGCCCTTGTATTTGTGGGTCAGGTCATCGCTGCACACTGTGAACGGAAACAAATATATACAGAAAGAATTATTATGGAAATTGCCAGTAACATAGAACTTTTAGGACTGGAGGCTTTGAAGCTGAGTTACACAAAAAGGAAAGCAGTGAGGACTGAGAAAAAACTTCACTATGTCAGCTGAGGGAATTACTGCGACCACAGGAAGTAAGCATTTTACTGCACTGCAATGAAAAAGATGCACTGTTTGCTCTTCTCATTTTTGTAAGAGAGACAGTCAAGAGCATAATGTAATGGACATACATAATGCATGATGACACTTTCGGGTTGAACATCCAGCAGTTAAAAGCTGGAGTGCGGGACTTACATGTAAATGAACATCTGTTACATTCAATCCCTTGTTAAATGAATTCACAAAATGCTGATTAGGCCAATCAGCAGCATGGTAATCTCCCTGTATTCCGCAGTGTACCACCATTTTAAATCAGGTTTCTTTGGTGGCATTCCTGCGCAGGCACACCATAATCGACACATTTTAGCAGCAATGACTGGTTTTCCAGAGCTGAAAAAAATAGATTGTAGCATAGACAAAGTAGGCTATATCTGGATCTACGAAGTGTCCAAGTTTGCGATGCTCCAGATAAAAAACAAACTTGGTGTTCAGGGGAGGATTACAAGCATACATCATAAGCACATCTTGACAGTGTTTGTGTAATGACGCCTACTGCCAGATGAGGGAGACAACAGTTCCATACCGCTGGTTAGACAACATCCCACAGCTGAGCCAACACGGACACTCACAGACTCACACTTACCTCCAACAATGAGGTGTGTATTTGGGAAGAGACATTTAGCCTGCATGAGAGCTCTGGCGTGACCTGAGTGGAAAACATCAAAGATGCCATCTGCATAGACCCGCACTGGTCTGTCAGCTGGATGGAGACACACGAGATAAGACATGCAGAGATTAAAGACTTGGTCTGTAGGGAGTCAATCTAATATTGTGCTTGTTTGTGCATTAATGTACTCAAGACTAAGATAAGAAAGAAGAAAATAAAGGAGAATGTGTAAGAGATACAAGGAGGGGAGAGTAATAAGTAAGTGGAGAAATTAGAGACACAAACAAACTGTCAAATAAAGACACATCTGCTGAGAGATTAAAAGATTGAGACTCACGTGGTGTGCCCCTCTTGGCCTCATCCATGCTGACTCTCTCATAGGGTTTACCATCGGCTGGCACCAGCTCATCTGCGAAAGGTGCAGGGTGCTTCAATCCCTGAAGACCCGAGCCATTAGAGGATATCAGTGATGGAATAAGTTTTCTTCTAATTCACACAAACATGATTGCTGTGCACTATAATGACTCATTTCTTTTTTTTAGCTAGATAAAGTGACATCATACTGTACTTCTCTAATTTTGTAACCGTCGTTCCTGGACTCTGCAGAATAAACTGATGTGGAAATAAAGGGTTCTGCTCTTGCTGGTGAAAAGAGGACATTTTTAAGCACGGTACTCATCAGCTAAAATCAGAAATATTTTGAAGCTGCATTGTTTAGTGTTCTTTATTTTGCACAGGTGTGAGACTTCTACAGAATACAACAAAGAAATTTAACCTACATATAGTCCAACACAACTATTTTTTTAGATCTCTGCAGAAAACGTAGGTTTAAAAACTACAACGCTATCAGGATGTCATGGACACACGCACATATATACACAATCAAACTGGCACATGCACAGTACCTGCAGAAACTGCTGAATAAACACGCTGTCCAATCACAGCCAAAGCACACAGCTGACTCACCACTGTGCATCTGGGGATTTTCCCAAGTCTCTCTCCGTCCTCAGTCTCCCCATTGGAGCCCTCTCTTCTTCTCTTCCTGGACAGCAGCAGCCCGCTGGAGCTTTGGGCCTCCATCTGGGTCAAAGGTCAAGAAGAGAAATGCAATTTAAACACACCAGGCTTCACATAGACTGCTTTGCTGTGTCCTAGTAGCAATAAAAGAAAGCTACACACAGATGTATACACTCAGATTTACACTATGCCTTTTGCCCACATTCTGTACATGAACTCTTTTGTTACATAATGACAGCGTACACACAAAATGTCCTTTACAGACAAACTGTAAATCGAGACACCTCGGGGGATGTGGCAGATGACATGTGCTGAGTCAACCCTGACCCAGTAACAGAGGACACTGAATAGCTCTCACTTGGCTTCCAAATAAAGGTCAACGGAAAATTATGCAAGCACCACCTGTTCCAACATAAAACTCTTTTGTTCCCAGAAATACAGAAAATGAACCCTTAATTAACCCAGCATTCACTTCTGATGTCTGAGCTCAAGTTAACATCACATTTAGCAACGTAACATCCAGCCCAGTTTCACCAGAGTCAGCAGGTCACCACAAGTGGGTGTGCTTTCATACCAGCTGCTGATCGACTTCAGCTGACTTTATTATGCACATAACAGCCAGCTGGATGTCTATCCACAACCTGACTGCACAACTTGTAATTAGAGGAAACTATACGGCAAACAAAAACCTGTTTTGCAAAAGGTGGAAAGTTGTATTGATAGGATTTCAGCCAACTCAACATCCAGCTATCATAATACAGGACTACAAATAACTAATTATGCTGGTGACAGTTCAGTCTGCTGATTGTTTTCACAACTGATGTCTGAATTGTTTCACTTGCAAAACATTAAAAAAAAACTGCAAAAGAAAAACGATGCTCATCATAAATTCCCAAAGCCAAGGGCAAGTATTCAGGTTGCTTCTTTTGTTAAACCAACAATCCCCAGCGTTCTATCTGCGGAGAGGAATTTTTGCCCCCTCCAAACAGTTTTTAGCCAGCAGCAAAGGAAAATCACCAGGGCCAAAATGATAAGCGCTGAGTGGAATATAAAAGTCTATAAAAGAATAAAGAAGAAGCCATAAAGGAATATAAAAGAAGCAATAAGTGATTTCATGTATTAAAGTCTAACAGACATTTTTGTTGATCAGATGGTGAGAAAAAAACAGAAATGCTAAGATTACTGTAAGATAAGGTAACACAGACTCTATTTCTTTACTGTATATGAACCGATGTCTAAACCAGGAAAAACCTTCAACCCAAACCTAAAGACAAGCTGAAGCTATCAACTGTTCAAAACATTGCCTTTAAAAATTACACAAATGACTAAGCAATGATGAAATAAATGTCTGCAGAGAAACTTCCCGAAGCAATCACACATGGGAGAGTCTAAGCTCAGTTAGCAGAGTCTTGGTGGAGTCTATAACTGTCCTGTGTATCCTGGTAGAACAGGACTGGCCTAAGATAGTCTATTACTTTTGAGATAAACTCCAAGACACCTTCAAAGGTGCCAACCACAAGAACGATGTGACATCCACCCTTTTTGTCAGACTACAGCGAAACAAAAGGAACCAGCACTGATGTCTGATTACAAGGGCTCCTGTGTTATGGGTTAACGCTCTGCCCCATTCCACACATTCCATTACGCCACCCAAAATTAAATCACATCTCATTAAAGGGAGGGGTCATTATTTTGAAATGTCGAGCTTGGTCACTTCTTTAACCTGCGATTAAGTCAGAACAACCTTTGGCTGGACTTGTGCTGCTATATTAGTTGTGAAAATGGGACTCAGCACAATGGGTGAAGGACGTGGCAGAACACGTTCCTGGTGGCGACAGCTACCTGATCCAACACTGGGCACTTGCACAAGCGGCCCCCTGCCTCTTTCTCTTGGCAGCAGCTGAGCACTGAGAAGCCCTGCAGGGCTCACACACACACACACACACACACACACACACACACACTGACAGAGTAGATTTACATAAACACCACATGTAATCATTACTGAAGCCGGCTGCTACAATAACTAAGCGACAAAAGGACAGCGCCAGGTCTTGTTTGACCAGACGCTGTGCAAACCAGGTTCACAATATTTCATTTATTAAGGCAATGCCCCTCAGATAATCCACTCTAGAGAACTTTTGATGAGTCAGACTTAAAAATGCTGCCAGTATTTAGGGCTGATTTTATCTACAATCATTTTAAAAGTTAAAAAAAAAATACAATAATAAACCTAAAAGTAAAAAATGGCCACCACATTTTCCCATAGACAACAAACAGTACAAAATCTAAATATCTAACAGTAAATCCTTACAACTGAGACTGAGAATGTATGGCATTTTGCTCGATAAATGTGTCAAATGATTAATTAAATGTTAAAATAATTAATTTTTCATGGATCAGGGCTGCACCTAACATTTACATTCCTTGTTGATGAGTCAGTCAATTATTTTCTTGATTAACTGATTCAATATTTGGTACAAGTTAAGCTGGAATTACTTAATTTTGACTTTTTTTGTTGAAAAATTACCCAAAATTATGAATAGGGTATTCCAACAGTTGGCAGTGAATTTATAGTTGATTAATCCTTGCAGCTCATCTACTGACTGATCTGTTAATAGACTCATTGTTTAAGCTCTGAGAATACTTAAATTGGCCACGGCGATCCAAAGAGAGGTCACTGTTGTCTGTGCTTATAGTAAAGTTAATTTACAGGATTTAAAAGTCCATTTAGTTAGTGGGCCACCGGGTTCCTGTCCCGGCCCGCTACGGGTTCCCGGACCACACTTTAAGAACAACAAGCTTCAAGTGCATTTCACACAATGTTCCCAATGGCTGCTTCCTTGTCTATTTCAAAATGACACTTATAACGTTACAGAAACAGACAAAGGCATGCTAAAAGTTAACTTTAGTTAGCACAGTCACCCTGTAGTCATGACAGAAGGGAAACCAGGGACCAGAACAGCTGACAGTAATTGTACTGGTGACACTGGTGGTGCAACTCAGCCGTAGACACCCCGGCTAACTGGACGTTCTCTCCTTCGGACAGAAATCCTTAAAATCAATACGCTGACACCGCCGGGCCTTGCCGTTTGCTAACTTTAGACAGCTGCTTTAAGTTTCTGCCTACTTACCGTTCACTCTTTTGTCCGGAATGCTGCTTTGAAGGAGTGGGCGGCTTCCTCCCCTCGCACTGCCAGCAGCCTTGCCAGCTAACTGCAAGAAAGCTAGCTAACGCCGCTAGCTACCGTCGAACGCTAGCTAGCAGGCTAGCTGTCAACTTGTTAGCTAACTTTAGCCGTTAGCTCGCCGGTTAGCCGACACCGCTAGCAACAGTTTAGCACGAACTATCCCGCGCGTCTGACTCGGTGTGTCGCTGAAGGAAAGCTGCAACGACCAGAAGGACAGACAAATTATCAGCAGTGACAGCTTGTACTACAGCGCTGACAGGTCAACAACACAGGAACTACAAAACTTCGATATCCTTAAAGGAACTGACATAACGAGTCACACATTTCCGGGCTGATGACGTGCTGCCACCTGGTGGACACACTCCTCATGATGCGTCCTTCATTTGACAGTTTTCCACAGAGGGTAAAATATGATAAGCCACACCTCACATAGGAACTGTAGAAACCCCCTGTGTAGCTTAAGGATTTAAAATGTCAGCTGTATTTTGGTTCACAGAACCATGATTACATCAGGGAGACGGTGTCCCCTGAGGTTCACTCTGAGGTTCAGCTTATCCTTTATTATAGTATTTATACACTGTGTCTATAAGTGGGGAACATGAACGTATGTACTTGTTTTGTAAACTAAAGTGATGTCAATGCAACATGAAACAACTGTATTTATGGATTTTTTTCAGTGACTTTTGTAAGACTTCATATTAAACTGTACTATTATATCTGAGCACAGTTTTTTTAACACTTTTTTTTTTTTTAGAGAAATCTTTGTCTTTATTTTCAGCCAAAGCAAGCTTCAGTTTGCTCTCTATGTGATGACTTACAGAATACGAAAACAAAATATAACTTATGCGACCCCAGTATAAGTCCATACATAAATACAGATAATCAGATATGTCCCGTATGTACACACTCTTATACCACACATTCCCATGCAGATGCACTCAAACGCACAGACCAACTCTTCACTCTTTGCCTCAAGGCGACTCTGCCCAAAAAAAACGAGCAACCAATGCTTTGTCTGTGAGATAAAGAGGAAGACAAAAAGAGGGAGAGCAGAGGAGGGAAAGGGAGGAAGAGAGAGATTAAGAGAGAGACAGAGCGAGAGGCCGAGAGAGAGGGAAGTGCATGCGGCAAAACAGAGAAGGACAGACCGAAGTCATTCAAGCTTTTCTTCCCCCCGAATAATCCCAGTTTTGTCCAAATATAGTTGGAGTTTTTTTTTTCTCCCAAAGACATGTTTCCATCTTTCTCTTTGTGTCTTCAGTCTCTGTTGTCCTTCCTTACTCTGGTCTGGTTTTGTCTGTGTCAGCCAGTAAGAGGCAATATATTGCAACAAATGGAAACATCAGAGGTGTGTAGAGTGATGAGAAAACTGTAATGTTGAAGGCTGCTAGTGTACATTTGGTGTCCGACCATCAGCTTGATGATCAGTTGGTCGTTGAGAACAGATAAAGTGTGTATTCTCTGTTAACCTTTTGTCATCTTTTGAAGGGGTTATTGTTGCACTGTCTGCAGGTTGGACAGCACTCTTTTCATACATAACATAAAACTTAGAAATTTGGCTGCAAATGTAAATCAGTATCTGTAAAAATGTTCATTCCAACAGTACTTAAATGCACTAAGAAATTTATTCTTTATGAGGTTCTTTATGCCAGTCTTCATGGTGGCACATGAAGAGGCACGAGGTTTAGTCAGAGTCTTCTGACTCTGACATCACTTCCTCCAGTGGTGGAAGCGGCTGGATGTCACGCGGGGCAGCGTATTCGGCCATGTTGGGCAGCCCAGAGACCACGCAACAGCTCAGGGCACTCCGGAAAATGTCCATGTCTTCGACCTCGGACCACTCGTTTGTCGCGGTGTCGTATGACTCAACGGTATAGGTGGTGGTGAAGCCGTTGAAGCCTCCGACGACAAAGAGCCGGCTGTCGAGTACCTCGATGCCAAAGTTGCTGCGCGTGGTCATCATGGGGGCCACCTCCATCCAGCTGTTAGTGTGAGGGTTATAGGCCTCGGCACTGCGCAGACGGTTGTGGCCATCAAAGCCACCAACCTGTGAGAGGACAAGTAAAGTAATGGGGAGAGTGTTTAAATGTACAGATCTCAGCGCGCAATGTGTCTTTGAGTTAAAACAAGAAGGTAAAATAAAGTAGAAGGCAAATAGATATATCAGAGACGTCCTCAGTCAATTAAACAAACAGACAAAATCCATAAGAATTGTTTTCCTGAGGTTGTAGCCAGGACATAAATCTGATTTTTTTATACAAGCTTAATGCTGGCAGCCCCAGCATCAGTCTTACGAGTTTAAAATCCCTGCTGAAGAAAGCTTTCACACATAATGGATGTGATTTATATGTTCCCCGGGTGTCAGCAGTGACTCATGTACTTACCGCAAAGATATGATCTGCATATGCCACGACTCCGACTCCGCTGCGCCGGATGGTCATGGGCGCAATCGTTGTCCATTGGTCAGCCCCTGGGGTGTAATATTCAGCTGTTTGCAGGCACTCGTTCCCGTTGAATCCCCCACAAACGTAGACCTGAAAGATGAAAGGAGGCGCATTAGGTCACATTTCCTGACCTTTATAAGAAATATGTCAACTGAACTCCAATAGAAACAACAAGTGAGGAATTTAATGGACCAAAACATAAATTGGACATATTAGTTAAATGGTTGACGTTGATCTGCTTTACCTTGTTACTAAAAGGTTACAAGAAATATGTCATTTTACACTTTACAGGTTTATGTTTCAGTACAATGTCCCGTTTATCGTTATAACTAGTCAAACTATACAAACAAAGAGGATTCCTTGTGCTGAAAATGAATATTGATCAGTCGACATTAGCAGATGTTAAATAAAATGTATTTAGGCTTTAAAAATCCAATTTTG